CTGATTCTTATATTTCAAGGACAGCAGTATGTTTCCAGTCATCACTTCCAAAGACAACCTCCTGATGGTCACCCTTCACGGCTGTGGCCGAGGTGCAAGCAACCCTAAAGTCAGCTCCCCCAGCCTTCCAAACAATGCTGTAAACACCTGCTTCTCTCTGTTTAATGTCTTTCTGCTTAAAATAGCTAGAGTGGTTTCTGTTTCCTGCAGTGAACCCTGCTGATACACACTGTTTTCCTTCTTTCCCACTAACTGCTGGTCTTTGCAACTGCCAACACTTCAACTGATCCTTTAAGCTCTAAAATGAGTTTGAATATCCCCATTCACTCCCTTTCTCTCTTATCCAGCTTTACTTTTCTCCATAGAATTTATTGTTACTGGGGACACCTGGGTGGCTCAGTGGTTGAGCACCTGCCTTTGACTCAGGGTGTGATCCCAGGATCCAGGATCGAGTCCCACATCGGGCTCCTTGTGGGGAGCCTGCTTCTCATTCTGCTTGTGTCTCCGCCTCTCTCTCTCTCTTTCTCTCTCTGTGTGTCTCTCATGAACAAAAAAATAAAATCTTTTTTAAAAAAGAATTTATTGTCACTCACAGATGATTTGTTCGTTGAATGTCCACCTCTACTAGAAATTTAGGCTCCACTGGAACAAGGATTTAGTTTTGTTCATGTCTATACACTTCTCTAACACTTGGAACAGCCCTAGCAAATAGCAGGGACGTAATACACAGTGTTGAATGAATGAATCTTTTTTTCCTTTTTTTAAGAAAATATTCATTTATTTATGAGAGAGAAGGGAGGCAGGGGTGGGCAGAGGGAGAGGGAGAAAAAGTCTTAAGCAGACTCTGTGATGAGTGAGGACCCCACTTGGGGCTCCATCTCAGGACTATGAGATCATGACCTGAGCCGAAACCAAGAGTCAGACACTCAACCATTTGAGCCACCCAGGCGCCCCTAGAGAATATTTATCAATAGGCCATTTCTGTTTCTTAGTCATCCCTCATGCTAAAGAACTCACCCTAACTTTTAGCTGCTAACTTTATCCTGAAACTTCGGACAGTGGGTTCAAACATAACTTGTGAATTGAAAATGTCAACACCTTGGAACTGGTGCATTAGAGAGAATTTGGAGAATATGAGCATTCTCAGAGCTATGACCCAAGCTCCCAGCAGATGGAACACCTTGGGCATTCTCTTTGCCTGATGATTCATGTGGACGGGTGTTTGGGTGTTCAGACTTTTAAACGTTCTTCTCAACCAAAACTGAAACCGAGATGTGCAATCACTGTGGAATTTTCCGCACCTGCAAAAACAGTTGTGTTGCTAAAATCAGCTGCTTTTGCTGCACAGGCTGCCGCATGTGAGGGTGGTGTTTGTCCAGCCACATGTGTAAGGGGTTCACAGAGCAGCGTGTGCACAGTACCAGCACAGGACCTTCCAGAGAGCCCGCATTCTCCATCCCCAGGCGTTTATAAACCAGAGACAGAGAAACAGACTAAACCTGCAAAGAGCAGCTTGCTCTGAGCAACAGAAGTGCACATGCAGCTTCTTGCCTTGATCAGAGGACTCCAGAAAATGCTTTCTGAAACGTCCTACATCTTGATCCTTCCACAGCATGACTCAAGTTCTTGGACAGACTTAACATTTCTGTAAAACCAGCTATTAGGCCTGGCCACTTCCTTCCTTCCTGGCACTAATTTCAGTAGCACAGACACGGAGCCCCTGCACCTGTTGCTAGTACAGCCACAGAAGGAAACCTCTACAAACCCTCATTTGTCCCCACGGCACAGCCAGGGATGCTGAGCTGCAGCAGGGGACAGCGTCTGGGTCCAGAGGGGCCGTTGGGACTCAGAGGAGGGAACATTTCACCCGGCACCTTCTTGGCACATCCTGGGGCTCCTCTTCAGGGCTGTGGATGGCCACGTTCCCGGGGGAGGGGTGCAGCCAAGAATCCAGCCCTGTACTTTTGATACTGGAATGGTGGATCCCAGGGGAGAAGGAGGAGGTTCTGGGGGGGGGGGGGGACTGCCAATCTTACATGTTGGGATGCAAACATGTGATTGAGACACAGCTCTGAGATGCTTACAGTCCTTTGGACTGTGACGCCCTTGAGGAAGGTACCCTGCAGCCTGGGAACAGATGGGAGAGGAGAGCTGGCTCCGGCCCCCTTGACTGGTCAGTGTCGGGTCCCCCTGGCTCTGATCTTCCTGGCCCTGAGTGTGCCATTGGATGGAATTTTAGGATGAGGTAGCTGAACACCACCAGGTAGAAATTGGCTTCTGCTCCCATTCTCTTTCCACACCAAAACTAATACCAAGGCGTTGGATATCCGGCACGCATGCCAGGGACCCATCTTGGGTACCTCATTGCAACCCTCCTCCTAGCACGCTTTTCATTTCTTCAGTAGAAATTTGGCAGAAGAGCAGGATTCTTATTTTCACCTTTTATCTGGGTCTGTTTGTCCACAGCTAGAATAACAGGGGCTCTAAAAACCTAATGAATTCAACGTTCAAAGAATGGCCTCAAGCAAATGGAATGTCTAATGTTCCATCTCTCTGGCTTAGGGCAGGAGGCCATTGGGGCTTAACATCTTTTTCATTCACATGCAAAATATTTCCCAAGGCCCAAGTTTTAAAATTCAGAATCCTGAAACCAAATCACTAATAATCTTCCCCATTCCTAAAACTTCCCATGTCCAGCGGATTTGTGTGTCTTTTTTATCCATGTGTATTTCTTCTTCTCTATAAACACATTTGAATAGACTAAACACCTCCTTTGGCAGTTACTTCAACAAAACATTGAAAAATCGGCTACGGTTGAGCATGGATTTATTTAGATACTTGCAAACGGTGTTCTGGAAGCCCTTTGCAGTTCAAGGATATGCTGGGTTCTCTCAGCCCTCTGGCTGGGAGGAAGTTGCTGTCACTGGAGTCACGGTTCACAGCTGTACCACGCTCCTGCTATCAGGGGAGAGACCTGAGTGCCAGCTGCAGAGAATAGAGATTATTGTCCCAAAGGCTATCACACTGAACTTGCTACTTACACACACACACCACACACACACACACACACACCCAAGCCCATCATAAAAGCATATCAGCTCACACAGACGCTGCCCAAATGAAGCACGTGTCCCCAGTACTTCCTCTAACCGACAAGGTCTGAGGCTTGAGTCCCTGAGATGCCCCATCTCATCCTCTTTCTTCCTCACGTCAACCCTTGGCATTGTATAACTAGCTCGTTTCCCTACACTACTGGTAACACTTAGAACCAATACAGAATTTCTCAGAAATAATTTAGACTTGATTCCATCCTCTGGGGCCTTATTGGCAACGGGTGATTATTTTTAGTACCTCAGTTGCGCATTTCCAAATCCTGGGAAGGTTCTGTAAGTAAGTCTGCTCACAACCACGGGAGTGGAAGATGCCAGTGGGGATGGCATCTGGGGCCTGCAGAGCTGCGGGGAAGGGTGAGGTGTGAGCTGGCTCCTCTATTTTCAGGAGAGGGAAGGGATCAGGGATCAGGAGCTACCCTTAACCCTCTGACTGCCAGGCCACGTGACTTAGGGCCACTTTCTTTTATTATTTTTTCAATTCAATTTAAAACAGGATGGCTGGGATCCCTGGGTGGCGCAGCGGTTTAGCGCCTGCCTTTGGCCCAGGGCGCGATCCTGGAGACCCGGGATCGAATCCCACGTCAGGCTCCCGGTGCATGGAGCCTGCTTCTCCCTCTGCCTGTGTCTCTGCCTCTGTCTCTCTCTCTATCACAAATAAATAAAAATTAAAAAAAAAAAAATAAAAATAAAAAAAATAAAAAAAAAAAATAAAACAGGATGGCTACTAAGATAGAAGTCACAAAAAACTGGCCTCATTTGTTTAGAACTTGGAAGATGAGTAGGTCTTAACTGGAGAGCATAGTGCTTAGGGGGTTGGGAGCATCTCCTTCCTCTTCAGGACTCCTTTCACTACGAAAGTGAGGCTTTCCCACGAAATTGAAGTAAACACACAGTCAACAAAGTGCCCCTCACAGAAGCAGTCAACCATCAAGATGTGGCATTTCAACCCAAAACGTCCACCAGTAAAATGCTTCAGTTAATTTCTGTTCAGAGCTGGATAATTTTATGACCACTAATTATGTCTGCAGCCACACATGGAGAAAAGCATAAAAATAGCTCTCTGTCCTTTCACCGAAGGAACCTTTTCAAATATTAACTTAGCAATCTCTTCCACAACGCCCGGAGGAAGTAGATAGGCAGGTTAAGTCTGAGTTTTCTGATTTTATAGACATCATGGATGCATGAAAGGTTGGCGCAGTGGCTTTTCCAAGGTCAGGGATACACCTTGAAATGACAAATGGGTGACGGAGTCTGGAGTTCTTTCAATGCAAAAAGACAGGCCCTAAGTACTGAGGACAGCTTCTAGGAGGCCCCAGGTCCCAGAAAGAAGACTACGGTAGACTAGGAACCCAACATGTATTTCCTATTACTGAAAACGTCTTGCGTGTGGGCCTGGTATGTGACATAAATACAAAATTTTAGCCATACGTATGAGCCTATGGGTGAGGAGAGGAAAAGCACAGAAGTGGGTAGAATGGGCACATAGTAGAGAGGGAGATAGTGGGGTGGCTTTGGACTCCCTCCACAGTCACACCAGACTTGGGCTTAACTCATGCTCTTGGCTCCTACTACCCATGTGACCTTGAGTAAAGGCATTTTCACTGGAAACATCCATTTCTTCCATGTGAAATGGAGCTAAGTCCCTATCAGGGATACAGCCTCAGTGAGTGAAGTGGAGAGCTCACGGAAAACGCACAGCTGAGCGCCTGGCTCAAGGTGAGCACTAGAAAGAGGAGGCCATTCCGTCCTCATGGTAAGAACCTTCCAGGGTTTCTTATGGTTGAAATGGGAGTAAGTTTGGGTCCCCAAGAAGCAATGATCCTTTGCCAGCCGTGTCCCATGGTGGTCCTCTCAAGTAGACACAGACAAAGTCAGGCATCATGCCCATTAAAAATTTAACTATATATCATATTCATTTATTATCAATCCACAGGATAATTTGATTGCTACATGAGCTCATAAAAGCTTTTTCACCTTTACAAAATTAAAAAAAAAAATGTGCCACAAGGATGTAATAACAACTGCCGATAAACAAGAAAAGGAATCTTAAAATTATAAATTTGCTGTAGAAAAGATAAAAAACAATTATATTTTCTTTAGAATTTTACCTTGAATAAAATATTCCCCTGTATAAAAAATAAAAAAGCTTGCTCTGGTTAGAATTAGAATATTTTTGTCTTCAAATCTGGGAATTTGCATAATATCTCATGATAGTTTTCCTTTGTACCGCGTGGCATTCAAGCACAGCAGATTAGATTTTCTTTTTCTTTTTTTTTTTTTTTTTTTAAAGCAGTCTTAAAAAAATGGGACATCTGTGGAGAAGCTCATTTTCTTCTTCTCCTCCTCAGGGATGTGGAACACAGCCTCTGCGGGGAGGAAAAGGAGGAAATGAACTGGATGGGCTGGGCCGGGAGGCGGGACAAAGGGCCCAGAAGGGGGGTCGCTGAATGTGTTGAGAAATAGAGCAAGATCACAAGAAGAAGGTCTATCTGTAAGTGCTTTAAGATAAGGTGCAGAAGCAGACTGCAACGTCGCTAGTACTGCCCTATGTACATATTCACAAGAATAAAAAATTCCAGCTAGTTCACATTTTCTCATCCGTTCTGAGGCATCCACTCCACCATGCTGGCCTTGACCGCAGGCAATGCAGCACCTCGCTGCCCGTGTGGGTGTTGGTCCTATGACGTCCTTGAACTTGAGGGAGCAGCCCTGGGAGATCCAGCAGGCTCTAGAGATACACGTCTACCAATGGGCTGGAGTCCTGAGTTAAAAAGAAGCTCCAGTACTGGAGTTGGACACAGCAATCAATGTTCTATTGTCAAGGCTTTTTCCCTTAGATTTGTCTAAAATGGGTGTCAGAGAGAAAAATAAAATACAAACAAACAACAAAACAAAGCCAAGAAATCCCAACAACCACCAGGGGAAGTCAAAGGCTTAACAGCTCTTGACTCGGGCCTGGGTGATATCTGATGTTTTCTTGATGACGCTGGCCCGAGTCTCCCGGTCTGGCCGACTGCTGCTGGGCGCTGGGGTCACGGAGGGAGGGAGGGGGAGGTCTGGTAAAGTGGGCCATGAGCTGTTGTAAGGCACCGGACAGCTCTCCTCTTTGATGGTGACCTGGAGGTCAGGTTTGTTGGAAGTAACGAAGGTCGCCATGCTGGGCAGCAGGTAGGTGCTTCGAGTCCCCATGTTGCTGAGGTACTGTTTGCCTTCAATGTTCCTCTTCCTCCAGTGGGGTCGTCCCTTTCAAAGAGAAGAAGCAAGATACAGGTTTGTTCTTGGCCTTCAATCAAACGGCTCTTTAAAAACAAAAATGCACCACTATTCCCACGTGTCAGTGTGTTAACTGAGGTTCTTAGGAGGCATGGAATGAACAGAAGCTTAGCGACTTGACATCCCTCAACTGAGACCCACACCCGGCTGTGCACATCCCAAGCAATGGTTTCTCTTCCCCTTTTTTTTTTTTTTTTATCAATTCCCATTTGCTACCTCCCAGAAAAAAATGGCCAAAACTGTTCTATGAAGGCAGGAAAACAAGGCAGGAACTTGGTTTCTGGTTCCGCTCTCCTGCAGGCCCCCCAGCCTGATCATGAGGAAGGTCTTAGGTCATCATGGCTGGTTTGTCACAGAGTCTTGCTTCCTCACTCATGGCCCAATCCAATCTTTTGAGTCAATCTGCGCTTTCCGAGAGAGAGGGAAATGAGGAACTCGGAGGGTGAATGCCTTTCCACAGCGTTCAAATGGGTACAGCGTAGAGCTCCAGCGTGCCAAGCAAACAGAGGGTCTCGGTGGGGAGGGGTGGCTACACTCCAAAGAAGGAGCTGGAATTTCTGACCTTGAAGAAACAGGGTTGGAATGTATGTGAGCATCTACACTTCCTGTCTTTTCAGAGTTCCTGGACTCCACTTGAAGTATTTCCTACACTGAAAAATCACGACGTGAAACACCCATTAGCCAGTCAGTCTCTCTCTCTCTCAAACACAGACACAAAGCAGGCGGTTACAGCCATTTCCTGCCATTGTGTGAGCCCAGCCTAGAGCAGGGGAATAGGGAGCAGGCGACTGCGAATCCAGACTGCACGCACACCTAGGCTCTGGGCACGGATCACAGAGGAAGGGGACTCCGGGTAAACATGGAGATGCTTTTGCTCAGCACTTGCTGCCACCTACTTCCGGTCACTGCTTTTGGCCACTTGTACCAGCTGTTTCTGCCGGTGAACTAGGATGTTGAGAGTGGTGAGCACCTCAACAATTCCTGGCCTCCACTCCGGTCTCTATTTCCTGCCGTCATAGCCTCTTTTTCTAGTAGCAACCTCTTCCTCTTTCCTCCCGTTCAGTTCCCAGAGATTAGATTTATAATTCAAAACCCAAAAGTACGGTAATTTTCATGTTGTGTATATTTTACGACACACACACACAAACCCCCACACCCACACACAAACTCCTCCAGTAGAACTCGTGATCAAACGTAGAGAAACTTAAGGAGCAGCAAGGAAACCGAAGTGCTGGTGGGAAAATGCTTCCCCACAGCGCCTGTCGGAGCCAGGTGGCGGCCGCCATGCTTACCTCGACGCTCTCTTCATCACTGGGCACACTATCGGTAGTTTCGCTTTCTGTTCACAGAGAGAAAAACACAGGGCCATCATTCCTGCCGCTCCAACTGTTGTGTGGCTCAGGCAGTGTTTAAAAAAATATATCAGCACTTCTTTTTTGTTGTTGTTCAAAAGGGAAATGGGTCAGTGAACTCATGATCTTCACCCTCTTTGTGCAAAAGGTCAAACAGACAGTTGTACTCGGGAGATGCTAGAGTGGGTTGTCCTTCTCTGATTTTGGCCCTTCAGTCGAGGGTCGCTTGCTCTCCAAGGGCCAGGCTATGTGTTCTCATGGCCCCTACCTCCCAGGACTGGGGCCAATCTGCCCTCTGCTCCCCAGGACCTCTGCTCACTCCTGTGTCCACCTCACCCCCTTCCCTCAGGGCTGCTCTATCCACACACCCCACTCGTGCTTTCTTCCAATCCCTGTCAGGTTAGTTCCATTTAAGTCCCAGCCCAGAGCCTCCCTGGAGCACCCCCGCTTACTCGGGGCCCTCCTTTACCCCATATCCCTTTCAGACTTTTATCCTAGGTTTACAAAGTTGCACCCTCCACCTGGGTTGCTGTGGTGGACAGATTCTAGGGCAGCTCCCGTGATCCTCCTCTCCTGCTGTTTCCTGGCTTGTTGGGATTCCCTCCTCTGGAATGCAGGGGGGGAGGGGACCTGCGACTTGGTTTGAAGCAACAGAACACAGTGAGCGATGGATGTTTGCGACTATGTTAAGTAAGCCTGAATCCTGTCTCCTGAGGAGACTTTCTCCCTTGTTGGCTTTGAGGAAACAGGGAGCCATGTTGGGAAGGTTTCCATGACAAAAAGCCAACCAAACAAAAAACAACCTAAAAGCTGCTTCCAGCCAACAGCCAGCAAGAAACTGAGGCTCTCAGTCTGACAACCTGCAAAGAGCGACATTCCACTCCAAACCACATTCCACTCCAAACCACGTGAGCTTAGAAGCAGACCTCCTCCCCGCCATTCCACCCCGATGCCGGATGAGCAAGTAGCCCTGGACCATACCTGGACGGCAGCAGGGCTGTGCAGGCAACGTGCGGAGCAGAGAGCCCAGCTAAGCCATGCCTGCACTCCTGACCCTCAGAAACTGGGCTGGGATAATACATGTGTGTTGTCTTAAGCCACTGAGTTTGTGGTTCTGTTGTTACGCAGCAACAGACAACTAATTCGGTTACCATCCTGATTCGGTCTGCCCGTTGGGAGACGCGGAGCAGGTTGCCTAACTTCACAAAGTGCAATTTCCTCATCTGTAAGATGGGAGTATGAATGTCTTCCGAAGAGGGTTAAGTGATGAATCAGTGTGAGGATGTGTGGGAAAAGGCCTAGCACAGGGCCCGGCCCACAGCTCGAGAAATGATAGCACACCGTTGTCCTCAGCTCGTCAGCCTTGCTCAACCTTGGATTTGCACAACACACTAGATTAACAGAGTCAAAGTTAATAGCCAGCGATTACACATCACCTGTACATAGAACGCAGGATTTTTTTTTTTTTAACTTAAAAGAACCTAATTTTTTAAGTACAAAGTTTTTAATTCTTTAAGAAAATTGATGGTGTGCAGCTCTTCAGTGTTGACGGCATTGAGAAATGAAAGCACCAGGGGTAGGGAAATACACTGCCCCTTAGAGAGCTCTGAGTCTGGGTCATTCCTTTATAGACAAGGGCTAGAGAAAGCATGATAGTGAACAAAAGAGAGAGCCTTGGGCTGGGGCCGTGTCGGCACCTTTGCACGCAGGCCTGGTTAGGCCTCACAGAGATCCTCAGCTGGGAAGCAGCTCCTATCACCCCCCCTTACGTAGAAGGGCTCATGTGTGCTCCAGCACCTTCTACCTCTTTCCATCCCAAACCTACAGAGCGACTGACCTCCAGTCTCATATCTGGCCAGTGGCAAAGCTGCGACCATAGGGCTCCAGCCCACATGGAGCCCTTTTGACCATTCGGAGCACTAGCCCCAGAGCAGGATCTCTATGAATTAAATAACAAATGGATAAACTGAGCCACAGGTTCCTCCCTTAAACAAAGCAAGTGAGAATGCTGACCACACGAGGCCTGCCCTGGAGCCTTTTTCCACACAAGGTCAGTCACTGTTTTCCAGCGACATCTCCTGGGCATGAGCGATCCCCCCCAGAGCTGGCCAGGAGCCCCTAGAGCACAGGCCTGGCCTCTCCTCTTCTCAGGCTGAGCAGACTTCCCCAGAGCACCCCCAGCTGGAGCAACAGCCACCCGGAGAAGGCTTTGCCTGGGCTGATGATGACCCTAGCCCTCCAGACAAGCTGACAGTACCAGGAGGCCTAAGAAATGCTTCCACCCCGAAACAAGTGAAAAACCCTGCTCTCATAATCCTCCGGCTAGCTCAGTATCCCAAGGAGGCAGGGATCAGTATCGCCGCTCCCAAGAAGAATGAGGAACAGAGATATTGAGAAACCTGCCAAAGTTGTGGCCTGAGTCAGCAGAGAGGAGAGAAAACAAAACTGCACGTCTGATTCCAGGGCTCTGGGCACCGAAACACAACAGCAGCTCTGCTTCCTGAGCGCTCCTGCTGCTCCGGCTGAAATTTCAAGATCCCCTTTCCATTTTTATGCTCAGCTTTCTCGGTGCTCTAAAGCCAGGGTTTCTCTTCCTTTCGTACATGTCTAGACCCCCTTTGCTCCTAATTACCTCCCAGAAACGCCATCATCTTCTGTTCCTGTCTCCCTTCAAATAGAAACAAACACACAGACGCCAACGGACATGTGTTGGGGGGAGGAGAGCTGGAAATATGTGGAAGCCAGCAGTGGACACCAGGGTTCTGGGATTCCAGCACAGCCCCAGCCCCAGCCGCGGGAGGGCCAAGAAGACGCAGCCCCTGGGTGGACTGCTTGGTTAAGACCTTTGCAGAGACCATGAACGTGATCAGAACGTTCACTGCTCTCATGAGAGACCCCCCAACCCTGGGAAATGAACAAGGTGGGAGGATGGGGGGACTGGGTGATGGGCACTGAGGGGGGCACCGATGGGATGAGCACTGGGTGTTAGGCTATATGTTGGAAAATCGAACTCCAATAAAAAAATATACAAAAAAAAAAAAAAAAAGAAAGTTCATTGCCCTTAAGCATCCAGTTTTCAAAACTTCAGGAATCAGTTTGAGACGAGAAAAGCCATCCGTGTTCTGATCTGAAATTTTCAGCTAACGCAAATCTTAGTGGAGAGCAGGGCTTCTAAAATAAGATCACCTGCTTCTGAAGTAACCCTAAAGACTCTCCATTATTAGCAAGCTGAGATTTCTAGTTTTTATTGTTTAAAAGATCGGCCCTGTGCACCTGTGACCCAGGAGCAGGAGATGCCCAAAGCTCCGGCCTGAGGACCCGAAGACCCTCCTCTCCCGAGTAAGCACGGCTCTCACGGCTTCCCCGACGTCACTGGTTCACAGTGCTTTGTTGGGTGTCCACGGGCCCATGTCCCTCTGTCCCTTGGTTTTCCTTCACTGTTGTCATTCTCAAGATCCCTTCTTATATCACAAATGAACTCACTGCAGCTGCATATCAGCCTGCACTGTTATTTCATTTTCCCTTTCGATGAGTTTGGATTTGGGTTTTTTATTGGTTGTGAATACAACGGAATGAGAAAAAATTGGAGTCGCTTCACTAGCGCGGCATGACTGAGTGGAAGGTATTTACAGAGCAGTAACAGGTACATGAGTAGCTCCTTTCAACACTGTGGTCCCAGTTCCCCTGAAAGTGACTGGTGAGAGGGAAGGGGATCAACCCTTGGGCGGGTTGATCTCAGAGATCCTTCTTCCAGAGCTGTGGTTCTAGGAGGACACTAGTCTTACGTTCACACGCTGCTTCAGCCCAGTTTTTATTGTCAAACCACCTCAGGAACATTCCGGAGAGGGAAACAGGATGTTTAATGTTTAAGCCTTTTTGCATTCTGACATCTGGGCACATTTTCTGGAAGGTTCTTGTTCAACAAGTTTTATTAATAAGATTGACAAGAATTTCTTTCCCTCGATCCTTTCCTCAACTCACTAGGAAAGCTCAGTCAAAAGGTTCAAATCAGTCCTCTTCATTTCAAAGCACTTCTACCTTAGCCTCACCCAACAAAATGCAAGCCTGCTATGGTTTCCATAAGGGCCCAAAGTCTTACTGCCAATTGTTGGTCAGTCCACTCTCTGTCATAACCAATTAATCCTTTGTATTTTTTTTTCAAGATTTCATTCATTTATTCATGAGAGACACACACAGAGAGAGAGAGAGAGAGAGAGAGAGAGAGAGAGGCAGAGACACAGGCAGAGGGAGAAGCAGGCTCCATGCAGGGAGCCCGATGTGGGACTCGATCCCGGGACTCCAGGATCACGCCCTGGGCCGAAGGCAGGCGCCAAACCGCTGAACCACCCAGGGATCCCTAATCCTTTGTATTACGCTCTCTTCTCCATCTCTCGTCCAGCCCTCCACAAAATACTACTATGGCTTTCTCTTACTAAACCATCGATAACCTAGTAAAATCCTGGTGCCATACATACAAGAGGCAAGAGCCCACTATATAGCAGACTTTTAAAGATAAAACGACTCCACCGGAGTTTCCCAAGGTTGGGCTCGGGAGATCTCTCTCCAGGATGAAAGTTTTAAAAATCCAACGAGAATTTTATATTGTCTTAAAACACCCAAAGCAAGTACTTCCACTCAAAGAAACCACCTCTTTTCTTGCTCACCACAAAATTTAAACCATAGAGAAGACAGACTTGCAAAACGGAATGTGGTTTTGTAATACTACTGGATTATATTTCAATGATCAGGAAGGGTAAAAAAAAAAAAAAAAAGAAAGAAAAAAGAAAAATAACAAAACAACAGCCTCCAAATACCAGTTTCCTAAGCAAGTGAACGAAATGGTGAGAGGAAGTTGAAATTCAGTTGAATTTCAGTCCAAACAAAGGAAGCTTATCACAAAAAACAGACAAGCAGCCTCTCCTATCGGGGAACATAACGTAAGAAGGGTGAATTACAACCAAAAAAAGCTGCCTTTCGAGGCAGAATGTTATCAAATTCCTTGACCGGAAGACTTCAACCAGCCACTCCGTTAAATTTTCCTAACAGGTAAATTTCGGGTCTGTAAGTTCTGGAAAGGCAGCAGTGAGAAAACATCTTGGCTCCAACCGGTGAGCCTCACTCCAAAAGGTTCTGGAGAATTCAGACAATGAAAACAAGGGAGAGAACGAAAGGCCAGACTGAACAGCCAGGCTCCAACAAAGCTCCTGCTGCCTGCCAGCCTGGCAACTGGGATCCTTCTTTTCAAATCTATGCAAATGTCCTGAAAAGGGTAATGAAATTTTCATTTCTCTCTGCATGGATCAGCTGTTCCTGGGATTCTTCTGCAGAGGCAAAACGCCACTGAGGGCAGACCAGCAAGAAAGACGTCTTTCCAGAACCCTCGAGAAGGCTTCAGGAAGTCTTCAACAGATAAACAGAAAAGTCTATTCTAAAGCTCCAACCCTTGAAAAACAAAACACAAAACAAAAAACACCCAAACCCACATGGGGTGGCATCATGCCCCGCAGCAGCATGATGTAGAACAAAGTCACACATTTTCAGCCATAGCTATGTAAATATAAGCAAAGGAGCCTAGTGTCATCTCAACTGTAAAATTAAGGCATAAACAGGCTGCTTTATTCCACCCCCCCCCACTCCCCCCATCGTAGGCCGTGGATCTCAGGGCCGTGGATGTGTTCCCAACCATGGAGCCCCGTGGATCGTCCGGGGCAGCACCACAGTGGGAGGGTTAAGAACAGGCTTTTGGCACCAGCCACCTGTAGGCAGAGTCTATCTGTGTTGCCAATTGTTCTTCCCTGGACACACTGCTTTGCCCACAACTGGCCTTAGGTTCCTAATTTTTTTTTTTTTAAAGATGTAATAATGATGATACCCAGGCTGACAGGGTTCTTCTCCTGATAATTAAGCAAAGTCAGTGGATTCCAAGCAGTTAGCACAGGTCCTGGGGCACAATAAACAGACAACACACAGCGGTTATTTATCCCTGGAGCCTGGCAAAGGCCAAAACGGAACTCTGACACGTAGGAGCTCAAAGCGTGATGAGTAAACCACTAATGACAAGCTTATCCTGTTTGACAGATTATAAGCTTCCTGTAGCCAAGGTCTGCTCTCACATCCCTTTCGCATTCCTGGCATAGAAGAAAGTGAGGATCTTGAGGACCTTACGTGAAATCGGCCAATCACAGAAGGACAAACGCTGCGCGAGTCCACTCTCCTCAGTTTCGGAGAGTGGCCTAGTCCACAGAGGCAGAAAGTGGAGCGGGGGACTGCCAGGGGCTGGGGACCTGGTGTTGACTGGGGACAGAGTTTTAGTTTTGCAAGATGAGAAAGTACTGGAGCTGGGAGGCGACGATGGTTGCACAACAACACAAATGCAATTCCTGCCGCCAAAATGTGCACTTAAAAATAGCAAAAATGGCAAATTTTGTGCTATGTCCATTTAACCACAGGTTAAAAAAATAAGCTAAAGAGATAGAAAGCGGGTGTTCAGGCGAAGAGAAGGGTCGCTTAGTGGCTGACAATTCACAAAGAACCTGTCATTTGAATCAACCTAATTCTACTACTGTGTGCCAGTCACCAGAGCGTCATCCTAAGTGAAGGACGCTCTGTCTGGCAGCGCATAAAGGATCCTGGGAAGTATACTAGAGCTGCCTGTACTGACTCCTGATAGGGCCTCTTTTTTTCTTTCGATTTTTAACGTTCGCAAGCAATAACATTGACTCAGAATTTATATTTCCTAATTATCGAGTCTGCAGAAAATGAAATGGAGATCATGGGACAGTGTAAGACAATGTAATGGTGGCAGATGAAGGAGCCACCACTTTGTTGCGTAAGGATGGAAGAAACAACAGAATCCGGTTCTGATCCTAGGATTGTCTGAGTCAACTTCTGGGTTGTTATGGGGCACTCCCCCGGGGAATCAGATCTGGGCTCAGGCACCTGGCCTGATTAGAAGCTGTATTGAACTGAAAAAGAAGGGGAAAAAGTAAACATGTGGCTCGAGGTCTCCAGGTTGAGTTCAAGTCCTGACCAAACACTCACTGACCATGTTATGTTCCCTAGAACACATGCCTTCCCTTCCAGAAATTCTGTAGGAGCTGAAAGGGATGGTCTTCAAGGTTCGATCCAGCTTGGTCAAACTCAGATTCCACTGGAAACACCCTTCCGGATTTCTTATAATTTATGCAATAACATAGACTTCGACGAACTACTTCTCCCAAGAAATATTGTTAGTCATGCACGAAAAAGTTATGGGTGATCCGAGTAAAGAAATGCTGTGGCCGTGTCTTCTGAGAACAAAAGTACCCAAGAAGATGTTCATGGAGAAAACAAAGCAAGAATAATCCCCAGGATGGAGAAGTGAAGCAGGTGCCCTCCGCCCCCCGAAGGACTGACCCACACCCATCCTTGCTCAGCTCCAGAGGTTCCCTCCAACCCTCTTACCTGCGTAGGAAGACACGGGGGAAATCTGCAGAGGGTAGAGCTCACTCATGCTGACCGGCTGCTCATCACTCTCGGTGGTCACCTCTACAACTTGGCAAATGTCCGGAGGATTAGTGACAATCTCTTGATCGTCGATGTTGCTGTCCAGATGTGACTGTCCTACAACTTCAAAGAGATGACAGCCATCATGCCCTGATGCCTGACTCACGACTCTAGCATGCACTCTCAAGGAAGACAAGCTTTCCCCAGAGTTGAATCATCAGGAATCAGATTCTCAGCCACATGTCATCTGCCGTGAAACTGAAGAACAGCCTTAGCTTTGGGTTTATGTCTCCAGAGAAGCATCTTGCCAGTATCCTGCCTCCCGGGGCTATTTCCAGCATGCTGGCCAATGGTGCTTACACGTGGCAATGTCCCAAACTCAATCCGGTCATAGCCAAGCCTGCAGGACCAGAGGCTGCAGCCAGAGCTAGCCCCAGGGCCAGACAGACAGTGCTTTGAACTTGACCCACTTCTGTCCTCTGCTCTTCCACCGAAGGAAGGAAGCTGCCATGCTGTTTTCCAGGTCTGGGTCCACAGAGACATAATCAAATCTTACTAAGGAGAAAGGACCCCCCCAATCCACTCCACTGCATCATTTCCAGCTGAGGGTGCTCTGTTCGGGTTCCCAGCCCTTCCCTGCCCTCCGGGCACCATGACCACTGGAGGAAATATCAGAACGACGGAACAGAGCGGCCTAACACAGACCAGCCCCACCAGCTCCCCAGGACGCTGACAAGATGAATTCCCACCACCCCGGTTCTGGATCCTGCCTCGACTTGCTTTTAATTAAACTTTTCAGTTTGAGGTCATTGTAGATTCACATACAGTTGGGAGAAATAATAGAGAGATCCTGTGTCCCGTGTGCCTTTTATCTAGTCTCCTCTAATGGCTACATCTCAGAAAACTCTAGTACAGTATTAGGATATTGACACTGATAACTCTACACTGCTTGTTCAGATTTCTTCACTCCTACCTGTATTCCTCTGTGTGTAGATGTGTATCTACGTGTGTGTGTGTCTACATATGTGCAATTAAGTTTTATGCAATTTTATCACATACAGAGTTTCGCATGTTTGCCAGCACAGTCAAAATACAAAACAGGTCCATCCTCACAAGCATCTCCTATATACCCACCTCTGTCAGCCTCTCCTCCCCACCGTCTCTGACCCCTGACATCCACTCATCTGTTCCCCACTTCTATAATTTTTGTCATTTCAAGGATGTTTCATTCATAAATGAGCTCACATGGTAACCGTGGGAGATTAGCTCCCCCCCCTCAGTATAATTCCCTGGAGATTCATTCATGCTGTGTCTACACAGCTCCTTTCCGCTGCTGAGTACTATTCCATGGTGTGGATATACCACAGTCTGTTTAACTACTCATGCGTTGAAGGACTTCTGGGTTGTTTCCGGTCTTAGGCTATTCCAAATACGGCTGCCACGAGGGACATGGCACACATGCCATACAGGCTTTGTATGAACCTAAGTTTCCATTTCTCTGGGACCAATCAATGCCTAAGAGCACAACTGCTGGATCACATGGGAACTTCATGTTCCATTTTACAAGAAACTGCCAAACTGTTGCTTGACGTGCTATACTGTTTGACATTCCCACCAGCAATGTGTGGATGGTCTAATTCATGGTCATTCTTGCCAGCTTTTGGTGTTGTCACTGTTTTTCTACTTCGGCCACTCTGAAAGGTGTGTAGTGGTATCTCATGGTGGTTCTCATTTCGATGACCCTAAGGTCCTCCCCTACTTTCAAACAGAACTGACCTTATACTTCTGTTGGCCATTGGCCAAATGACATACCCCTAAAAACTGGCACTGATAAACAAATGGAAACAACAAAGGAGTAATAAGGTTTTCCCAAGGGCCTCAGAATACTTGGCGATCATAGTCAATGCTTTACTCACCCCTGTGTAAGTGATTTCTAACATTTCCACCCATGAGAACGACAGACAAGCCATCCTAATCCTTTTATCAATTAAGAAGCCCAGTCACAAAAAAAAAAAAAAAAGAAGAAGAAGCAGCAGCCCAGTCACAGAGAGGTAGATTCACCTCTCCGAAGGCACACAGTCCAGATTACGCGCAGTGCTCCCACGTCCCTCACATTTTCTTGACCATCAAGTTAGGCAAAAAGGCCTAACCACATTCCAATCTTCCTGAGAAATCTGCCATCGTGGACAAGTTCTTGTTTTAACTGCTCAGTATTTTAATTGCTCCAGGATTTTTGTTTATAAATGAGTTCCGGTTTTAATTGCTTTTTGGAGAGAGATGAAATGACTAGCACGAGGTGGAGAGAACATGACCTGATTCTATTCAGAGAAGGCTTGAGAGGGGAGTGAGAATTCTCGAGTTCTGGAACGAAGAGAGGAAAGGCACCCGCGAGGCTGGGGGAAGGAGATGTGGGGATGTGATAACCATCCACAAAGCCCTGGCATTCAGAGAGGAAGGGAAATGGAATGTTGTTTAGGTTCTCCTGGAGGGGATGAAATTAAAGAAAAGGACGACAGGCTATATATGGCAGGCAGACTCCCAAATTCTTATTTTATCCTTTGGACCGTACCATTTGAGCATGAAGAGCATCAATTATGTAGTTCACCAGACACAGACTGAGCACCGACATTGACCTCTCTCAGGTTTCTGCTGCCTCTTCTCCCACGGAAGATAAAACGGCAGGAAAACAAGATTTTCCCAAGTCCTAAAAGCAGTGGGCAGATGGAAACCAAACAGGGCGCGCGTGTATGCACGCGTGTGTCTGAGGAGGGGCTGGCCAAGAGTGATACCCTGCCCTGTAGGGCAATCAAGGTCTTCGACAAATTTGACTGACATCAAAACCACTTTAACTTCCAGAACTCCAAAATTCAATTCTCGGTTGCACCGTCCTTCCAAGTAGACAGCAAGCGAGCTGGTCGTTTATGCAATGGCAGCAGCTCAAGTGTCTTCCCATCGTAACAGCCCCTTGCTCTGACCTGGGATTCTCTCCCTCCCTGCCTTTTCCCATAATGCCCAACTCACTCATTCAACTCACAGAAGATTTATTGTGCACCTACTCTGTAGGAGGCCTTGTTGTCAAGTACTAAGGGGGCAGAGGGCCTGGTCTGTGAGGACTCTGGTAGGGCTGTGGGCCAGCACACAATGCTCTGGAGGTGAAGTTTAGGACAGTTGTGAAGGGAGGGGGGCCGGGGAGAGTCCACACCAAAAGAGTTGAGAAAGTAGAGTATTTTTTCCCCCAATTCGAGGAATCAAAGGCTTCAATGAGGCAGTAACGCGTGGGTTGGGTGGGAAGGGGAGGCTGAGCAACAGGCAGTATTCAGAAGGCCTCTGTCTTTCTAGAGCCTTTTCCTGACCACCCCTCACCCCAACCCCCAGAACAGACTGACCTCTCCTTCCAGATTGCCTCTCACCCACTTGCCCCTGCTGCTTGTCCAAAATTACAATGTGACACAACCTTGTGACACTTTCCTGACTTTCTGCCCCATATCACAAGTTACTTTTTATTTGTACGCATCACTTCCCAACCAAATTGTGGCTCCTGAGAGAGTTGAGAACCGGGATTAAAACTTTCTGTACCAAGGCCTAGCACAGGCTCAGGACTCATGCCTGAGAACAGCTCAGTGAACCTCTGCTAAACACACAGATGAATGAAACAGACCGAGGCTCACGGACTGGAGCCAGGGGCCCATAGGAGATCAGGACCACTTGCAGATGCCGGATGTGGCAATGAGAGTCTCCTACCAAATTTCAAGACTCGTGGCAAGTGGGCTTTTTAGAACCTAGAGGAAGTGATGAAGACAGAGTGGGCCGTGGTTGCCAGAAGCTGGGGGTAAGGTGAGGAAATGTTAGGGGGTGATAAAATGTCCTAGGCCTTGAAGATAGCAGTGGTTACACAACTGAGTGCTTCTGTCAGAATTCTAGAACTATTCACTGAAGAGGGGTTACTTTGTTGTTATTTCAATTAACATCTCAACATCGGTGGGACCCCAACTCACAAGCTGCAAGCCCAAAGGAGAAGCAAGGAAGTCCCAACATCTGAGATGCTCTCTGGATGTGCTTTAGGCACTACCCCTAATCAACTGATCGATCTGTCGCTCACTCGCTCGCTCTCTCTCTCTCTCTCTCTCTCTCTCTCTCTCTCCCTGAACGACTAACCTTTGCCCCAAGGGACGACCTAGACAGTAACACTGACTCTTGACAGTCATGAGACACACACACAGTAAACTGTTAGCAATCTGCTATGGCGAATCAAGTCAGGAGCGGCACCGTGCTAGGTGCCCAAGTATCCTGACTGGTAAGTAATAGTAGCAAAACCAAACACTTCCTGAGCACTTCTCTTTGCCTCTTCCACTCACCCCTGACCTCCCACCTGGAAGCCTCCACAACCCCATGAGGAAGGTACAATTATGGTCCCCATTCTAGGCATGAGGAAAGGCATCACGGAGAGTTAAATATTTATTCAAGGTCAGACGGACAGTAAGTGACAGAACCAGAAGTCAAATTCCACACTCCCAGATGCAAGGTGCAACTCAAATTCTCCGCAGAACCACCTCTCCAATCAAAAGAGCTCATTAAGTGCCCACCTGGCTGCTCCTGGTTTTCTAAGCCCATCTGGGGATAAAACCTTAAGAATCTCACTTTAATGAAACTCTGGGCTCACAACAGCAGTAGTGACATTGCTTTTCAGAAGCTCTGTATTGGGTGCCAAGGAAATTCTACAATGATTAGAGAAGCTAGGAATCCACTAAACTTCTCTAGCACATCAGGTCAGCCCATCAGGAAAAGAGTCACCCACAGGAATGTAATTTTATCCGGACCTAGTTGCTGAGAATTACAACAATATTATTCATGGCTGCTTACTGATGACCAGTTTGGTTCCTTAACAGGTCATTCTAACTTTATTAACAATTGCTGACATAACGTAGGGCTCCACCTGAGAAAGCAGTTGCCCCTGTGCCTCACAGAAAGCTCGGAATACCAGAGACTATTAGAAACAAAAATAAGGGATCCCTGGGTGGCGCAGCGTTTTGGCGCCTGCCTTTGGCCCAGGGGCGCGATCCTGGAGACCCGGGATCGAATCCCATGTCGGGCTCCCGGTGCATGGAGCCTGCTTCTCCCTCTGC